TTATGAGTCCTCAGACAAGCATAATCCTTATGTAAAAAAAAATTAATGGGGACTCACCAGATTGAGTCAAGTTCCTGGCAGAAAATAATTGCTAGAAGAAACAACAACTTGCAGGAAAATAGACACAAATACAACAAATGCATAGGCTTAAAAGGAGCCTTTTGTATTACCTTCAGCACCCTGACCAGACTCCAAGAAGGAGTTGCATGACAGCCTGCATGTTTAGACGTGAAGCTAGCTTACAGAAGAAGAGTACCAAAATGCAAAAAAGCTTTAAAAACCCTAGGGAACAACACCAAGCCAGGCTTATACAACAGACCTTGTGGTAAATGTGACACATTAGAGGAGAAGGTGACATGTTATTACATCACGAGTAAGTAGAAGCCAGCATCAAGGCAAGAGGATGCAAAACATTGAGGAAGTAGGACATAACGTACACAGCTATACTCTGTTATGCAATCCAGTGTTGACTGCCATGTGTACTGTTTCTGCAATTTTCCAAAACAGTGGTTCCCAAACTGTGTGCCGCGACGCCCTGGGGGGCCACAACGTGCACACTGTAATGTTGGCCCCTGTAATGTTGGCCGTCTGGGAGAAGGCAGCCGCAGCATGAGGGGAGAGGAGCATGAAGAGCTCCAGACCCTTCACTCCCACAGCAGCAGGACTCAAAGCCACCCTCCTGGCGCATTAGGTAAGCTAACAGGAGGGTGGCTGGAGATATATCTTTTTAAAAATCACTTGTTTGTGAGTGTGAGTATGAGTGTTTGTATATGTGTGAGTGTGTGTATGTCAGGGTGTGCTTCTGTGTCTGTGTGTGTGCACACATCTGTGTATGTTTTTATGTCAGCGTGTATCTGTCATGGTGTGGGCATGTATGTTTGTGTGTGTCAGGGTGCATGTGTTTATATGTCGGTGTGTATCTATGTGTGTGTATGTGTTGGTGTCTATATGAATTTGTGTGTAAGTGTTGGTGTATTTGTATGCATCTGTGTGTTAATGTGCATACATCCAAGCAGGCAAACACCAGCACAACACACAAGCACACTCCTGCAATCTAACACAAATATTACATACAAAATACAAGCATTAAAAAAAATAAAAAATAAAAAAAATATATATATATATATATATACACACACACACACACACACACACCCCTTCACTCAAACACAAATACTTCACACAAATGTACATCCACATTTAAACGCAAACATTACATACAAACACACCCCTGTATTAAAACACAATAAATGTATACAAGCACCCCTTCAAACAACCAACACTGTACATCACTGGCGTACATACCAGGGTCGCAGGGGTCGCGACGGCGACCGGGCCCGGCCCACCAGGGGGCCTGGCCGCCCCTGCGACCCGGTATGTACCCACAGGGCCAGCCTCTTCCCCTGGGGGGCCCAGGAGCCGACCACCCCAGGGCCTCCTGAGGCTGGCCCTGCTGACACCCGGCAGGCGGGTGGCCGGTCGGGCAGGCGGGCGCGCGAGGGAGCACTCAGTGCTTCCTCTTCAGCTCCCTCGCGCACCGCAATGATACCGGAGCCGGAAGATGACGTCATCTTCCGGCGCCGGCATCCTTACGCGGCGCGCGAGGGAGCTGAAGAGGAAGCACTGAGTGCTCCCTCGCGCGCCCGCCTGCCTGCCCGACCGGCCACCCGCCCAGGAGCCCCACTGGACCCCAGGGAATAATCCCAAGAGGTAAGGAGGCTGGGGGGATTATATTAAAAAAAAAAAAATCATGTGTGAGTGTTAGAGTGAGTGTGAGTGTTAGAGTGAGTGGGGAGAGAGCTCTCCTCCTCCGATCCTCCTCTTCTCCTCCCCGTCGGCTGTATGCGCACGCGCGGCAAGAGCTGTGCACGCATTCAGCCGGTCACATAGGAAAGCATTCATAGAGTGTGAGTGTTAGAGTGTGAGTGTGTGTTAGAGTGTGAGTGTGTGTTAGAGTGTGAGTGTGTGTTAGAGTGTGAGTGTGTGTGTGAGTGTTAGAGTGTGTGTGTGAGTGTTAGAGTGTGTGTGTGTGTGAGTGTTAGAGTGTGAGTGAGTGTGAGTGTTAGAGTGTGTGTGAGTGTTAGAGTGTGTGTGAGTGTTAGAGTGTGTGAGTGTTAGAGTGTGAGTGTTAGAGTGAGTGTGAGTGTGAGAGTGAGTGTGAGTGTTAGAGTGAGTGTGTGTCTGCTAGTGAGTGTTAGTGTGTTAGTGTGTGTGTCTGCTAGTGAGTGTCAGTGTGTTAGTGTGTGTGTCTGCTAGTGAGTGTCAGTGAGTGTGTTACTGTGTGTGTCTTACAGAGTGTGTGTGTGTTAGTGAGTCTGTTTGATGTCTGTTAGTGAGTGTGTGTTTGTCAATGAGAGTGTATGTTTTGTAAGTGAGTGTGTATGTATGTCTGTCGCTGACTGTATCTCTGTCAGTAAATGTGTGTGTCTGTTAGCTAGTGTGTATGCGACTGTAAGTGTGTGTGTGTGTGTGTGTCTTCAATACTTACCTTTCTCCAGCGCCGGACTCCCTTGGCGCTGAGGATCCCTCAGCCTCTCAGCTCCGAATGCGACCGCGCACGCATTCAAACCGCCCATAGGAAAGCATTACTCAATGCTTTCCTATGGACGTTCAGTGTGCTCCTCTAGCGGCTGTCAGTGAGACAGCCACTAGAGGCTGGATTAACTCTCAGTGAAACATAGCAGTTTCTCTGAAACTGCTATGTTTTCAGCTGCAGGGTTAAAACTAGAGGGACCTGACACCCAGACAACTTCATTGAGCTGATGTGATCTGGGTGTCTGTAGTGGTCCTTAGACTGATTGATAGTGCCAGAAAACATACCGCTTTCCTGGCACTATAGTGCCCTGAGGGTGCCCCCACCCTCAGGGTCCCCCTCCTGCCCGGCTCTGGAAAGGGGAAAAGGGGTAAAACTTACCTTTTTCCAGCGCTGGGCGGGGAGCTCTCCTCCTCCGATCCTCCTCTTCTCCTCCTCGTCGGCTGAATGCGCACGCGCGGCAAGAGCTGCGCGCGCATTCAGCCGGTCACATAGGAAAGCATTCATAATGCTTTCCTATGGACGCTGGCGTGCTCTCACTGTGAAAATCACAGTGAGAAGCACGCAAGCGCCTCTAGTGGCTGTCAATGAGACAGCCACCAGAGGAAATAGGGGAAGGCTTAACCCATTCATAAACATAGCAGTTTCTCTGAAACTGCTATGTTTATGAAAAAATGGGTTAACCCTAGCTGGACCAGGCACCCAGACCACTTCATTCAGCTGAAGTGG